AAGTGATACAGAAGTGATACATTTCACCATACACATAGGAAATAATGGGATTTCGGTGTTTGAGCGTTTTGCAGAGCGTTCCAACGCGCTACAAAACGCCCAGGTGTGAACCAGGCCTCACTGCTACCTCTCTGCTATCTTCAGCTGTCAGATACGGAATCACTGTTTAGCGAACCCGTATCTAAATGTAAAGGCTTCATTCTTTCATTAATGAAAGAAGCTTTTACAAAAGCTTAACTATTTCATTAATGAATGCCTCAATAGTGAGGCATTAATTAATGACTGGTAACCGCTGAGAATCAGCAGTTACCAGCATTACAGAGGCTGATATAACTCGGCACGTACAGTGTACGTGGCTAGTCATATAGCCACTTTGTGACAGGACGTACACTGTATGTCTCCTGTCACGAAGGGGTTAAAGTTCATAAATGCTCTGGCTGAAAGCTTTGTAAATGCTTCATTAAAGCTTGCCATTCACAATGCTGTTATACAAACTAAAGCATGTACATACAAGGCCTCAAGGAAATGTCTATTTGTTGAGGCTTAACTCTCATCACTGAACCTAGAGATACGCAAACAATTGATTCTGTACATAAAAATTTAATATTAAGCAGGGAACAAGTAAAAGATTTGAGGTCAAGTTTCAGAATTTGGACTGCAGCACCGCAAGGGCTCATTTACACCGACAAATGAACAAGTTACAGCGCAGCTCGAGTCCCTGTGCTTCCATCTGCCATCTATGTGGAGCGCAGGTGCAATCCATCTCAATGAGTAACACACTTCTGTGTCTACACAGATAGCATTTGGTGCTTTCCTTTGCCATCAAGTTGCATTGCAGCGAGCTCAGATTTGTACGATGTGCATATGAGCAAATCAAATTATTACAGACATTCCTTCATGTGCAACTCGTACAGTTAAAGTTTGCAATGTACTCTCTGGGACCCTAGGAGCCCCGACGCCAAAAAGCTGCAGCAAATGCCCTGATCATATGCAACACCTTTAATTTCAGTAAGTAAGCAGCTCTGATGCAACATTCAGGCAATATGGAAGAAATTACATACAGCTATACCCAGCTGTAACATATTACGATATATGCAAGTTAATCCCTAAAAATGCATTTAAGTACCTTAACTTTTAATATAAATGTATCTTATTTGTGTATCACTTGGCTGTAGATCCTCGAATCATCTCTGAATTGGTGCTGACACTGTCCTTCCTTCTGGAGGGTGGCTACTTTTGATCCCCATGGTCCTTGTGTGTGTTGTAAAGTAGTCACCGCTCCAAACTCACTCCTGTGATGGACCACAATCTCAATACAAATAAGCAAATCAAACAGGAGTGTCATCTCCTGAATGCTGCTAGGGTTTGTGTGTCGGCATAATGAAGCATCCCTCCGTAGCCATGTGCTTCCAAAAAATTAATGACATTATGGCCAAGGAGAGGACCTGACTGCTGCTCTATACGACTGGTATGATACATTTATTACGACTTGGTCCAACGGTATTGCTTTTACTTCATCCCAGGCTTACACGGAAGTCCTGGCATCTTGGGTGACAAGGAGATCTGTGAAGTTTGAGGGTTGCTGCAGGGCTGCCTATTGGAAACCTCCACGTCCCCTCTTCTACACTTATTTACTCTTGTCATCTTTGCTCTGTTGCTCGCTTCCTTGATTTTTTTTTTTTTGCTCCCTCTGGAATAAAATAAAAACTATTTCTCCTGGTTCCTTGACTGGGTTTCCTGCTTTTATTAAGATTCACCCAAGTTTGGCATTCATTTTAATTCTTTTATTGAAGAAAAAAAAAAGGGAGAGAAGCTGATGAAGGACATATGTTCTTTTCTCATACTGGTTCTTATTATATAACATCTGGGAGGTTTGTGGGATGGGATTTGTTTGCTGTCATTAACATCTGTACTTTGTATTCTCAACCTCCTGTTATTTACGAATCCCCTCAACCTCCTGTTATTTACGAATCCCCTCAACCTCCTGTTATTTACGAATCCCCTCAACCTCCTGTTATTTACGAATCCCCTCAACCTCCTGTTATTTATCCGAGCATTATTTTGAGGCTAGGGCCCCCGGTAAAGACATTATACGTGCCGGGTATTACTTGTTGCTGCCTGAAGCCATTATATGCAAGTCTGAAAGCTGTAAAACTAACCTCTTCTTCCTGTTTCTCTCTTCTCTTCGCATCAGTAGCATCTGCATCTCCTTCATCGGCCTCGGCGTCCACAATATCTTGTTCTTCATTTTCTGCCTCCTGGCTCTCCTGCTAAGATATAGGACAACAGTTGGGACTTTCCTGTGCGTTATGGGAAATCATATAACATCTACAGGCTAGATAACAATTTTTCATAAGGTTCTCTTATGGCAATATTCTCCTGCAACAGTGGCTTTGACTCAAGATACAAAAGTGACATATAAATATCATTCGAAGCATACATGTGGGAAATGAGGATGAGCACAAAGTGGAAAAAATCTCCACATGGCTTATGTGATTTAAGCTGAACTCCAGGCAAATAGAAAAGACAGATGCAGCTGTGTAAATACAGCTGTGCTGCAGTCCCCATGTGTTAACAAATGCTGACAGGAGAAGAGAGAAGAGTGATAAAGAGATGAGATCATCAGTGTGCTGTTTCTTCTTTCACTGTCCAGTCACAGGCTAGTGGAGGGAAAAGACTGGCAAGGTGTTAGTGAACTGCAGTGGAGACAAAAAATCAGATTTCCTCCGGTATAGGGAAAATGGATGATCCCTGCTAAATCACACTGTCAAGCTTTTATGTTATTTAGCTTAAAATTAGCTTAATGAACATATTATAAATTATACTCTATACTAGGGGTGCGGAAATTAACGATTAATCCGTCGATTAATCGTTAATTTCTTTGATTGATCAAAATTATTTTGATCCGTACTCACCTCTCCGCCGGCTTCCGGGTCTAATGTCGGAGATCCGGTGACATCACGGGCATCGACGTCACCGGACTCCTCCCCCCCTCCCCGAGTGGCTGTCGGCTAACGAAGGGAAGGGGGGGAGGAGTCGGGTGATGTAGTTGTCCGTGATGGGTAACGAAGGGAAGGAGATCAATACAAATAAGCAAATCAAACAGGAGTGTCATCTCCTGAATGCTGCTAGGGTTTGTGTGTCGGCATAATGAAGCATCCCTCCGTAGCCATGTGCTTCCAAAAAATTAATGACATTATGGCCAAGGAGAGGACCTGACTGCTGCTCTATACGACTGGTATGATACATTTATTACGACTTGGTCCAACGGTATTGCTTTTACTTCATCCCAGGCTTACACGGAAGTCCTGGCATCTTGGGTGACAAGGAGATCTGTGAAGTTTGAGGGTTGCTGCAGGGCTGCCTATTGGAAACCTCCACGTCCCCTCTTCTACACTTATTTACTCTTGTCATCTTTGCTCTGTTGCTCGCTTCCTTGATTTTTTTTTTTTTGCTCCCTCTGGAATAAAATAAAAACTATTTCTCCTGGTTCCTTGACTGGGTTTCCTGCTTTTATTAAGATTCACCCAAGTTTGGCATTCATTTTAATTCTTTTATTGAAGAAAAAAAAAAGGGAGAGAAGCTGATGAAGGACATATGTTCTTTTCTCATACTGGTTCTTATTATATAACATCTGGGAGGTTTGTGGGATGGGATTTGTTTGCTGTCATTAACATCTGTACTTTGTATTCTCAACCTCCTGTTATTTACGAATCCCCTCAACCTCCTGTTATTTACGAATCCCCTCAACCTCCTGTTATTTACGAATCCCCTCAACCTCCTGTTATTTACGAATCCCCTCAACCTCCTGTTATTTATCCGAGCATTATTTTGAGGCTAGGGCCCCCGGTAAAGACATTATACGTGCCGGGTATTACTTGTTGCTGCCTGAAGCCATTATATGCAAGTCTGAAAGCTGTAAAACTAACCTCTTCTTCCTGTTTCTCTCTTCTCTTCGCATCAGTAGCATCTGCATCTCCTTCATCGGCCTCGGCGTCCACAATATCTTGTTCTTCATTTTCTGCCTCCTGGCTCTCCTGCTAAGATATAGGACAACAGTTGGGACTTTCCTGTGCGTTATGGGAAATCATATAACATCTACAGGCTAGATAACAATTTTTCATAAGGTTCTCTTATGGCAATATTCTCCTGCAACAGTGGCTTTGACTCAAGATACAAAAGTGACATATAAATATCATTCGAAGCATACATGTGGGAAATGAGGATGAGCACAAAGTGGAAAAAATCTCCACATGGCTTATGTGATTTAAGCTGAACTCCAGGCAAATAGAAAAGACAGATGCAGCTGTGTAAATACAGCTGTGCTGCAGTCCCCATGTGTTAACAAATGCTGACAGGAGAAGAGAGAAGAGTGATAAAGAGATGAGATCATCAGTGTGCTGTTTCTTCTTTCACTGTCCAGTCACAGGCTAGTGGAGGGAAAAGACTGGCAAGGTGTTAGTGAACTGCAGTGGAGACAAAAAATCAGATTTCCTCCGGTATAGGGAAAATGGATGATCCCTGCTAAATCACACTGTCAAGCTTTTATGTTATTTAGCTTAAAATTAGCTTAATGAACATATTATAAATTATACTCTATACTAGGGGTGCGGAAATTAACGATTAATCCGTCGATTAATCGTTAATTTCTTTGATTGATCAAAATTATTTTGATCCGTACTCACCTCTCCGCCGGCTTCCGGGTCTAATGTCGGAGATCCGGTGACATCACGGGCATCGACGTCACCGGACTCCTCCCCCCCTCCCCGAGTGGCTGTCGGCTAACGAAGGGAAGGGGGGGAGGAGTCGGGTGATGTAGTTGTCCGTGATGGGTAACGAAGGGAAGGAGGGAGGAGTCCGTTGACGTTGATGTGTGTGACGTCACCAGACTCCTCCCCCTTCCCTTCGTTACCTGACGGGATCCCTTGGGCCGGTGAGTCTCCTGCTTCATTAGTGCATCGGATGTGTGGACAATGTGTACATACTACAAGGCAGCTAAAATAAAAATTAAATAATATGTGTCATGTAAAATCTACTATCTGCTACCCTGGTGAGACCCCCTCAGAGCCCTGGTGAGTCCCAGAGAGCCCTGGTGAGTCCCCACAAAGCCATGGCGAGACCCCACAAAGCCATGGTGAGACCAGGGCTCTGTGGGATCTTGACAGGATCGATTAATCGATTAAAAAATTTTTTTGATTAATCGAACAGGAACATTTTAATCATTACCAGCCCTACGCTATACGCAAGTCTGCATTTATATAGTACACAATTATAGAGTGGAAACATCACAATACATATAGAATTAATTGAATGAACGAGCAACATGTGGAACATTTAGTTTTTTGTGTCAAGGTTAACTAGAGTTCATGTAGAACACGAAGGTCTAATGGGTTGAGGTAACAAGAGTTTAAAGATAAAATCATAAACATTTGTTTCTTTTAATTCAACGGCTTTATTCAACATAATTACAGATGCAAAATACAGAAAACATCCAAATTGGAACAATTAAAGTGCAGAGTAAAGTGGTCAAGTAATAAACATGTTTTTTGACCTTGGTTTAATGAACAGCTGTCCTCTAACCTTGATATGAAAGAATCCTATCCAGACAAGCAGACCCATCTAATGATCTTGGCCCAATTAAATGAGTACAGGTGTCATTATTATCTGATTTTTGGAGATAATTCAAGGCAACACAGATGGTTCCACTATTCAAAACCCTATAAGAGGGGGCTGTGAGCCCATATTATTTGAACGTGCCTGAGTCGCTGCATGTTTCCAGTTGAATTTACTTTGTTAAGCTATCCCGTCTGAGTGGTTGCTAATCAGTGTAACAATTGGGGCAAGTTCCCCCTTCACACTCCTTCCTAAACAAGTCTGTTTTGTGTATCAGAGCTGTATAAATCTTAAGTCTGCATTGACAGAAATACAAATCCTTTGGCAGGCAAAACAGAACATAGTTATTATATCTATGTATGTATCTGTTTGCCAGCTGAGTTAAGCATTAAGGAAAAGCAGTTTTATTACTAATACAGTCTCTGTGGAGCTCTACAATCCCATCCCTAATCTACAAGTGCTGCTGGGCCTCTCCCAGAGGTCTACCATCGTATTACTATAACCAGGCACATCAGCTCATTAATATTTAAAATCAGTGAAGCAATGCTCCAGGTTTGGCTGTGATCCTAGCTTGGCACTGAGGTCCAGCAATAAAAATAAATCAACAGACATCACAGTTTGTGCTACATTATTGCTTTCTGCTATGGAATAAAACCAGCTGGAGGACTAGATAAGTAACAGGCTGCCATGCGTTGTGTCTAGCAGACCTACATAAGTTGGTAAGCATCATTCTTCCCAGGCAGGTCTCAGAATACATATACTACTGATATAAATCTGCACCTTGCATGTCTGTGTACTTGCACAAGGAGTTCTGAATGTATCAGGCATGTGATCAAAGAGCGTGTCACCTTGCCCAAGCTCTCCCACAGCAACTCGCAGGCTGTTTTGGCAACTTGGAGGAGTGAAGCGGTCACTACCAAGGTCTTGTATTAGTGCCCAGGTATGTACCTTGGCATTTGTCGATCAGAAGACTAAAGGAGCCTGTTGGAAAATCTTTGGCTGCAAGCCCCGTCAGGCCTTTCAGCTGCAACCACCGTTCAGGTATTCCGACAGCGGCTGGCGCCAACATCAAAATACAAAGCTCACATCGGGAGATTCGTCCATCCATGCTGTTCAGTGTTGGAGGACATCAGTTAGATTTTTTTTTTGTCATTCAGACCACAGGTTGAATGAAAAAAAATATATTAGTGTATAGCCTACTTAAGATCGCAGGAAACGAGGATGACGCCACCATAGTCTAGGTGATGCAAAAGGAAGGTCGGAGAAAAGTAATTAAATTACTCCCCGTTTTAGGGAGGTGGTGCATACTAAATGAACAGACCTTGCCAGTAAGGTAGTAAATCCGCTCTAAATGATTAAACAAACTCTGGGGAACATTTTATTAACCCTTGGAGTAGGCATACCCCTGCACAGCAAGGGTTAACTGCTCGTATGTGTCTAGGTGCTTAAGGGGAAAAAAAGGTATACTTACCCGATTCTTTCAGCCGGCTTGTTTTTAGGCTGGGCCCTGAAGCCTCTCTCTACACCCCCCCCCCACTGCAGCAGTCTAAGAAGCCTTGTGTCATCATGTTGTATACAAGTGAGGACATTGAGGAACATTTCATCTGGGCAGCAGGGGAGGAGACATGTTTTAGTGACTGGAGAAGCAGGGAGTTGGCTTAGCACTTAACCCTTGCAGTGCGGGGGTAGCCCCACTGCAAGGGTTAATAAAACTTTTCCACAGAGTTCTTCTTTACAATAAAGCCATTATAAATATCTGCATTTCATCCTCCTGTAAACTCCTATGCATCAGCTCCTATCCTGATAAGGAGAGTCACCACTTTCAGCCAGTCATGAATCCTTTTCTTGAGTCCTGTGCAGCTGCTTCTTTCCTCTCCCATCAACAGGCTGGAGGTGGGTGTCTTACGAAAGCTGTACTGCAGTGGAGGTTTCAGACCTGGGTAAGCCGTTCGTTTAGCATGAGGTGGATAAATCACAAGACAGGAACAGGAAAACCATTCATATATGCATTTCGTGTGTGTGTGTAAATGCATTTAGCTGTATGCCTGGAGTTCAGCTTTAAAAAAACAGACTTATCTGTAAAAAAGGGGCCAAGAACATTTTACATCTGTGCAAAGTTACTTCCAGACTAGGAAAGAAATGAGCAATCAAGCAGCATGCTTATAAAATACAGCTGTACTCTACCTTTCCAATGACTTACAGTGAAACAAAGAATCAAAAACAATGTTAAGGGCTCATTCAGACAGGCGTGCACGCCCGTAAAATGACTCGATCCCCAAAAGGGACAGGTGTGATGTGTAAAATTGCACTCAGCCGCCTGTTCTTCCCTATGAGAGGACGCGGCTGCACACAATTACATGCACACCCGAACCTGCACATCCGTGGAGGGGCCAGGTTCCCGCGCTTGGATGCAAACCGTCTGTACCCAGATGTGCCGGTTCAAGTGTGCGTGTGACTCCATGTACAGTTGGGCAAAAAAGTATTTAGTCAGCCACCAATTGTGCAAGTTCTCCCACTTAAAAAGATGAGAGGCCTGTAATTGGCATCATAGGTAGACCTCAACTATGAGAGGCAAAATGAGAAAACAAATCCAGACAAAATCACATTGGCTTATTTGGAACAAAATTATTTTGCAATTATGGTGGAAAATAAGTATTTGGTCAATATCAAAAGGTCATCTCAATACTTTGTTATATATCCTTTGTTGGCAATGACAGAGGTCAAACGTGTCCTGTATGTCTTCACAAGGTTGGCACACACTGTTGCTGTTATGTTGGCCCATTCCTCCATGCAGATCTCCTCTAGAGCAGTGATGTGTTGGGGCTGTCGCTGGGCAACACGGACTATTGCGTGCAGCCCCGTCCTTCCATAGGGAGGAACAGGCTGCTGTGCACTATTACACGCAACACCCGCCCCTTCCAGAACTGGGTCATTTTCCAGGTGTGCACGCTGTAGGGACATGCATGCCCATCTGAATTAACAAAATTGATAGTAGGTGAATCGAAATGCTGAGTGAAAAACAAACTTCATTTGCATTATATGTAGAAATAAATTGGGTTGTGTGGATTATGCACCCCCAGTGCATTCAAGTATGGGGGAACATTTAACATTTGCCTATGCCTCCCACAATACACTGCTCATGGCCCAAACAGCCAATCATGTGCAGAGCCCCGTGTACGTTTCGTGTTTCTCAGAAATTCAGGACTTGCAGTGTTTCCATGGGCTCTGGCAGCAAACGGGGACTGCAGTGGACAGGAGGGAAGCCGACCATAGGGTGCTTGTTTTGCTTCCTTATAAAGTGAATCTGTTACATTACCTACCAAGGATAAAAGCACAGACTTACATTAAAGACTGAGTCCTAGAGACTTACCTGCTGTCCAGAACCCTCAGCTCCTTCATCCATATCTTTCCGCGTTGCTTTACGGGCAGTAACCTCCCTGTAGGAGGCAAGCTTTGCACTTCTCTTCTTAATGGTTTCAACCATTATTTTTAAAAACCTGCAGAAGTCACAGAATATATTCAATATGGGAAACAATCAAGTTGTGAGCACTCGCATTCAGATAAACCTCCCTATTATACCTCTATCATAAGGTGATCTTAAATGGTTCTTAAAACTTGGAACGACATGGTTATCTCTAGTGTCATCCAAGACACACCGGCGCAAAGGCCACTACTTCCATAGAGGATAAACCATCTATAAGCTGCAATACAGAAACTTCCCACCACATCCAACATATCTCATCCTGTGAACTGATATCAGAGGGAAACAAGTTTTTGGCAATGTTTATCAATCCAGTTACATCAAGAGCAATCTTACCGAGCCATGATGATTGCACACATTTGCTTTACTACCATGCCCCCACCAATACCGCTATGGCTGCAGCTATTTTCATAATTGATAAGTTGCCCGATTATTCAATTAGTTGCATGAAAATAAAATCTCTCTCTCCCCTTCATAATCGATTAGTTGGTTGCAGCCCTAAATACATCCACTCTCGTGGATGATACATAAATCTTTCATTAACAGGCCTCACTCTCCACTTAAGGTGAACATGGGTTTTGGCCATGCTGGGTAAAGCAACAGGTACAATTTAGAGATGAGCCAATCAGTGGCAGGACTTGCGGCGGGGACATTTCCTGCCACTGTGTGATGTATAGCTGAGGGGCAGGCAATAGAACTCTCCGCAACAGATGATTAGACCAGGAGGAGGGGATGGCAGTCATACTTTTGAGCAGGCTTGGGTTAAATGGGTTCACGTCAAGCCCAAAGCTCACCACCAGTACAATTAACTTTCCCTTCCAAAAGCAGCACAGGTTCATATTTCCTTCCTAGCACATCACTCAGCTCAACCGCCAGGAGGGTAGATAGGAAAGTGCCGTGTAGCAGGGAAAACGCTCTCCTCACCCCCATGTGACAGAATCGGGTCAATCGACAAGCACTAGAGATGAAAGGGAGCGCGGCTCTTCTCATACTCTGAAGTGCTGGGGATTTCTCATGCGTCTCGGTTCGGCCCCTTGGAGCAAAGAGAACGTGGCTATATGCTGCCAGGGGCAGGGGAGGTTAAGTAAACCTGTTCCTTTGTCCTGCAAGGGCAAAGCACAGGTTCATGTTAATGTATTAGAACATTAAACCCCTCAAAGGAAATGACACCGAGGCTCTGGAGAAGGATGAAGTACACTTGCTTTGCAGTGCTGGGGTCCTAGTTTTAATTCACACCAGGGACACTACCAACATGTATGTCTTCCCAATGTTTGAGGAGGTTTCCTCTAGGTGTCCTAGCTAACGCACACAACCAAACATACTGGACAAAAAAACTGGCACAACTTGGCTTAGCATACTTGTGTGTCTGTGGTGGGAAAATAGCCTGCATGCATCTCAGAGGGAGCTAGAAGGGTGAAAATGTACAATGAAGAGTTGCTGGCAGAAGACATTCAGGGTTATTCACTAAAGGGTGAAGAGTTTGGAGAAGGCAGGAGGAGTGAACAATCTAGGGCCAAATAGCCGATTTGGAAAAATTCTGCAATTCAGCTCACTTTCCAGTTGAGCTACGTTATCCTAGATTGTTCACTTCTCCTCCCTTCTCCAAACTCTTCACCCCTGTGTGAATAACCCTGATAGTTTGAGTGTACGTTGACCCCAACAATAAAAACTTACCTTATTTGCTCCCTTTTGGTCTGCTAAATATACCATTGAAAATGTTTTGCAATATTTGTTTGATAAAAGCAAATAAATACAAATCAAAAATCTTGTGAGCTACTAACTTCCTGTGCACAAGGAGGGGTTATAAAGAGAATAAGGGGGTGGGAGAGAGCTGTGCCCTTTGTAATCCATCAGAAATTAAGTAGGCAGGGCTGTCACCACATCCTTAGAATTTCAGAGCTCAAAAGAAACTGTTGTCGGCTCAAACAGGAAGGAAAGGGCACACTGGCATGTCAACAGTTCTATTTCTGTACATGCGGCATGTTTAAAGGGATAACCGTGGGGAAATGTACGTGCATTGCAGAGATGTACCACAAATGTTTATTTTTTTAATTTGTAGCCTTGAAATATGCTTTGCGAAGATCTGCACATTTTATACATTCACTCAGTCACACGGAACCAACCTGGTCTCCATGAAGCGGAGAATGTCTTCAGGTCTCGTGCATTTCTCCTGTCTGTAATACTCGTATGGTAGGAAGTGGAACTTGAGTTTGTACACTTGATATTTTTGGGACCTCTCCTCTATCCGGAAGGTTTCCTCCACATCCATTTTATGAATCACCTATAACATGGGAAAAGAGATGTAAAACCCTGTACAGTGTGCACACATCACAGGACCTCTACAGGGTGGTGGTACTCAATGGTGTTATAGAGCCGAAGCCCCTACTCACCTGAATCCCCCTATGGCAGGGGTCTCAAACATCTGGCCCTCCTGCTGTGGTGGAACTACAAATCCCATGAGGCATTGCAAGATTCTCACAGCCAGACATGACTCCCGAAGAGAGATGCATCATGGGATTTGTTGTTTCACCACAGCTGGAGGGCCGGAGGTTTGAGACCCCTGTCCTATGGTAACATTCAGTACAACATGCAGCAATTGCCCTGCTCATCCCTGGGTAAAGGAAAAAACAAAAACGTACCCTTGCAGTGGGGCTACCCCCACACTGCAGGGTTAAGTGCTAGTTTTGTCTAGGGGACATAAATAAAGCTGTATTGCTCACCTGATTCCAGCTCCCTCGGTAACCAAAGCTCACCTCTCTCCCCCCTCCACTCCGGCTGGCAGAATGTCCCTCTGCACTCTCTGCTCTAATGCAGGTCAATTGACCTGCATAAGTTGACGATATCAGTGGTCCTAAGGCTGGGCACACACCTTACAACCATCGCAAGACTTCTGTCTTGCGATGGTTGTAAGGTACTTAAAAAAACGTACGATCTGCCTATGTTGCATAGGCAGATCGTACTTGTGATGATCGCAAGCCACGCCCCCTGAGGGGCGGGCTTCCGATGAACGCAATGCCAAACGGGCTGTGTGCGCATGCGCACACCGGCCCGTGCGGCTGTTATCGTACGGACATGCCACAAACCCGCCGAACATCGTACGATGCTCGGCGGGTTTTCGAACATGTCCGTAAGTTTAAAGTCGTGCGACCTTACAGTAGTAGAGGTCGCACGGCTTCCACACACCTTACGATCATCGTACGATCGCGGGATTTCCCGCGATTATCGTACGATAATCGTAAGGTGTGTGGGGACCCTTAGACTGTTGGAGCTCAGGGGAGAAGAGGCTGTGCAGATCGGGCTGCCTGGAGGGAGCCAGGATCAGGCGAGTAATGCAGCTTTTGTGGGCCACCTAGACAAATTGAGCACTTACCATAAGAGCGCAGGGTAGCCCCGCTGCAAGGATAAGCTTTTTGTTTGTCTGGAGTTTCTCTTTCATCTATTCTTTATTGGAAAATGGAAATTCTAGTGAAGTGAGGAGAGATGCTGAGGTTGGTCTGTAGGAAGCCCAAGATGTGTCAGGAAGATGACACAATAAATGGCATTCCCCAACCAATTACTCTACACAGTACACAAACAGTATTGTACTTAAGTAATTAAACTCCCCAAGCTTTGTGCTCCATTTCACAGATTCCAGTTAAAGCATGATGTTCACATTTCCACCATAAATGTCTTCAGCATTAATCATGACAATAACAAAACAGATCACATAGGCTGCATTGTATTTTATTCCTACTCGTTCCTAAAGTTCCATCATGTTCACTCTCTGTATCAAAAATAACATTTAAAAAGGGAAAAATCGGTGCAGTGGCTCAATAAATCCTTTACAGTCATTTTAAGAGTCTACCTATAAAGAGCGATAGTATACAGCATGCTTCAAAAAAGACCATGTGATCGTATTTTACTTGAACTGCCCTCATGCTTTCTATAGAAGAATGGATTGTTATACAAAGTCACCCAAAAACAGTCTTTGTTTCCTTTACAATTTCTAATAATGATGTTTTATATCTTTGTGTATAAAATATGATGAACAAACATTTAATACAGGATTCACCCACGACACTGGTTTCACAGCACACTATGGGCTTCATTTATAACGCTTCTGTCTGACGCATACCGTTAGCATGGTACCAGCGCCCCTAGATGGCGCTACAAGAATTTCCTATACTCTAATTTTCTATATGGAGGGGCACCAGTGCTGTGCAAACAGTATACTCTGGGCAGAAGATTTATAAATGAAGCCCTATGCAGTGCTGCTTCCCCTTTGCTCTGGAAACAGGGGGTTCGCTTGGCATAGAGGCCACAGAGAGAACGCCTATTATTATTAATGAATGCGTTCTTTGATTGAATGAGGGGAGGATTATGATGTCATGCTATCTTCATCCAATCAGAGAAGGCCTTGTCCTGATTAAAAATCCAGGAAACACTTTACAGAAGCTCTTTTTTCTTAACTGCGCATTACAGGACACAGGATTTTAATCTTAGACATGGGATGTCCAAAAGCAGCCCAACAAGTGTTGGGCAACCCAGCAAACGCACGCCAACATGCTCACAGAACAAGGGGGCTTGATAGAACTCAGCAGCTTGAATCACCTTATAACTGAAACTGGCATCAGATCAGGCCTGAATATCATCTGCCTGATGAAACTGATCTGGTTGAGCGTGCCTTACCAGGAACACTGTCCTTGAGGCTATGAGCTTGAATTAGGAATTATCTAGCAATAGTAGAACTAAAGGCAGGATGACACTCATAAGGATCTTCAAGACTGACAGAGCAAAATCCGAAGGGCTAGGCCCCATTCACACTAAGCGACATGCAAATCGCGCGATTGTCATTTTGCGTGATACCGCGTGGTTTGCCGCGCGGTATCGTGCAAATGGTTGCATTCCGCAAAGTAGAATCGCGCCGGAATCCGCTCCAAAAAGGGTCTGTTGTAGCGACGCACGACAGTGACAAACAGAGCCCCATTGACATGCATTGGAGAGTGATATCCCGCTGTAAATATGCGGTTAAAAAAACCCGCTCAGTGTGAATGGGGCCTTACAGAAGTTGTAGCTGAGAGGTACCCCATCTAGGCAGTAAAGAGAAAGCCTCCATAGAATGTTTCAGAGTATGACAAAGAGGGGAGAACAATGTCCATTTTAAGTTAGGAGGAGGAAATCACATTGGGAAGAAAGGAGTGGTCTCAAGACAACCTGAACCCTGTGTAACACTAGGAAGAGTTTCTTAGAGGATAAGGCCGATAACTCGAAGACTCACCTTGTAGAGGTGAAAGCAACAAGGAAGACAATCTCGTGAGTAAGAGCAGACAAGGAAATATAACTGGTGCACACAGTGCGTATAAAGAGAAACAAATAAAAACACATAACATGCAGCGAAAGGCCAAAAAAGGTTGCAAGCCCATAAGAAACCAAGCAACTCAAAGCAACGAGTTAAAAAAATGCAACGCATTGCTGTAAAATAAGCCATCAACGCATATCAATGCAGAAGCATTTTGTGCATGTTGATGCTCAAAGTAAGTGCAAGACTTCTGTTTTGTTTTTCAAACAAGTTTAAAAAATGGTGCTGACCAATAATACATAGTGAATGGTCAGAGAACAAGACTCTACCCCGACTATGCTTGCTATTCTCTCCTCATAGAGTATGTATTGCCGTAATCTGATCTAGTCGCATCCCAATTCCCACGTCCTGAGTGTCCGTCTTCCCTGTAGTCTGGATTTATTTAGTTAGAAAAATAGTCAATACCATGAAACCCGTGGGAACCAGTGACCAGCAAGCCGTAAACACATGCTTAGCGGTGATCACGAGAAGAAATATTCTTCTGGAGAACAAAACCACAAAAACATTTCCCGATACCATCTCAAAGCAAAACGTGTCATCTGTTCTTTATATGGAAGAGACACGGGTGGACTGCAAATGATTCATAAAATAAAAAACATTTTTTTTAAAAAGTACAGGCAGTCCCCGGGTTACATACAAGACAGGGACTTCTTAAAGGAGAACTATGGGGTCAGTGTTTTTCCCCATAGTTCTCCTAAGGGTCACGGGAGGACATAAACTAGCGTCTTCCCGTGACCCAAAGCTCAGTATACCGCGAGCTACAGCTCCTGGTATACTGAGACCGCTGCAGCCGGGACAAATCCCAACAATGCTGTTGAGATCCATCCAGCTGCGTAAGTGACAGCTGGCTCTGCCTATAGATAGGCAGAGCCAGCTGTCACTTACGCAGCTGGATGGATCTCAACAGCATTGTTGGGATTTGTCCCGGCTGCAGCGGTCTCAGTATACCAGGAGCTGTAGCTCGCGGTATACTGAGCTTTGGGTCACGGGAAGACGCTAGTTTATGTCCTCCCGTGACCCTTAGGAGAACTATGGGGAAAAACACTGACCCCATAGTTCTCCTTTAAGTTGAATTTGTATGCAAGTTGGAACAAGTAAATTTTTTTAAGTGCGACTCCAGACAAAAAAATGTTGAAATTTTGGATAGCATAGGGAAGGGTTAACCCCCCGTAATGTTTGTTTTGCTGTGTGCGCCCCTGTTCAGAAGATTTCACCTCACTTTCTGTCCCTGTGACAATTGGATTTTGAAAAGGTTGGGTTGTCGTGGAAACAAGGATTGGTGATAAAGCTTCAGTGGAAACACCTTTATCCCATAATCACTCTTACAGGAGTGGATTTCCCTTCCTAGGGGTAGATTTCCTCTAACTTCCTGTTGCCTCAAGGACAGGAAGTGAGAGTAAATCTTTCTAATGAGGATACAGACAGCAGTAAAAACTTCACAGTCACCCGGAAGAAGAGGAGGGCACTTCTTGTCTGCACGTCTAACAAGAACCAACTTCCTGTAATGTACATACAGGACTACGAACCAGCACGGTACACTTTGGCGGCAGCCTGGGACCCCCTGCTGTACGTAGGGATCGTATGTAAGTCGGATGTATGTAACTCGGGGACTACCTGTATATAATATTTTTTAGAATCTCATCATTTGTTTGTGAATACCAACAGGATTTTTATAGGTTTTATTAGAGTATAAGGATAATTTGATGGCTGATCTTGAAACCGTGAGACTGGAAATACATTTTAAGCAAATCACACGTTTATTAAAGGGTTTGGCCACCAAAAACCATTATTTCAGTTATGGGTGGATGAGCTGAATCTCCTCAGTGGCTTCTCAGAAGTGAATCCGTTTAGTACAAATCTGTTTGAAAAACCAAGTCACAGCTTAACTTGGAAATTCAGTCAAAACTTTTTTCTTTTTAGATTTAAATGGAATGGGTAAGTGATGGAACGTGCATAGTCTTAATTTAACTGTAAGAGCAAGCACCACAAGCTTCATCCAGTACTCTTCTCAGAAAATTACCCTCCACGCCTCAATGTACTACAGATCCCAACCTCAGCTTTGCATACGTGCTAGAATGTGTTGTACTGCTTGCCTTCAAAGCATCATATATGGCTAAAGTAAACAAAGATTGTCTCTCCTGAGAAGCTGTATCTGCCAGTGTATGAACATGTAACAAGATACGCCTACAAGAGCTTTAAAAAGTAACTGTAGAGTGTATTTATTTCTTACTATGTTCAGATACGGTTTCACAATGGTTAGGGTAGGAATGGCTTTATAAAAGAGAGAGTATGACTGGTTAAAAAGACACTTCAAGCAGTTAGGACACTGTTTATCCCTACAGGGGACACAGACAAAAACAGATGTTCTAACATTTTCCCACTCCATCAAAAAGGCAAAAAAAATAAAAAATGGCTTGGAATATTCTTTAAATACAACTGATCAAAAAACATTTATACTTTCCCTTTATAAGAGGTTTATTTAATAAGGCAGTGCAGGGTTGATATGCAAAAGCTAAGGTATTGCTGAATAACCCTGACACAGTTTACTCACCTCTGAGAGACACACTCGAGTGAGCCTTTTCTTCAGGGCCTGCACCCTCTTTATGGCTCTCCTGATGGGTAGGACTGGAACTCGCATCATAGGAGTTTTAATATTGGAGCTGGCAATCAACAAAATTTCTCTAAGCCTGTAGATAAAAAAGATATTAAGATCACGTCAAAGACTCAACGAAGTGCTTAGCTAACTCTGCTCAGTTATGCACCACCATCAATACTTCTACAGTTTCAGAGCGCTGCCTGCGAAACGTCAAAACACTTGATCACTTTGATGGTCGAACTCTACATATAGGTTTAAAATGGCTGCAAACCCAGGCTCTAAAACCGCAAATAAATCTTAATAATAATGCAAATTGAAAAGTCACTTTGAATCCTTTCACATCTACAGCTTTCATTAATATAATAACCTTAATTAATAATAATCCTTTCATGAAATTTGCATTGTGCTTTGCATGACAAATCTCAAGGGGTGAAGAAAATCACATTATGGTTGATAAATGCGCTCACCTGGGAATACCCAATGTGACATTCATTTCTCCTCTGCCGGCAAAGTGAAAGGTGTTCAGCGTCATCTGAGTAGACGGCTCCCCGATGCTCTGAGCTGCCAGAAGCCCCACTGCCTCTCCAGGATCACACAGTGCTCTCTGCCACTTCAGCTGCAGCAATGTCCTCAATCTGAAGGCACAAAAAAAAAGAAAAAAAAAAATAGTATTTTGTACTCACCACAATTTTTTTTTTTTTTCTGGAGTCCATAAGGGACACAGGAAATCTTATCCTTTGGGTTATATTGCCGCCTGCTAAAGGACTGGACACTGGCAAACAAACTGTAGGCCAGCCCAGGCTAAACCCTCCTACTCCTGGCATGCCTCAGATTTTAAGAACACAGATACCAAGAGTATGACCATAGGGGTGGGACATGTGTCCCTTAATGGACTCCAAGAAAAGGATTTTATGGTGGGAGCAAAGATCCCATTTCTTTTTCATCCACAGAGGGATACAGAAGTCTTAATCTTTAGGATGTTCAAAGGCAGACCAACCAAGGGGTGGGGAACTTCAAACAACACTAACAAGTCCAAAATGTGCCTTGCAGGAAAGGTATGGAGCCCATAACCTTGAACAACGGTCTGTCTGAGCCAGCTAGAGATGGTGGAACAGGAAGCTGGTGCCCCCCCTGTGGAGACCATCAGAAATAACAAAGTCACCCTGAAGGAAGCAATAGCTAACAGACTCAAACTACATCCAGGCACTGAAGATTATTCTGCTTTTGATGAACTGGGGCCCGACAGGCCAATGGAAGACCAATGTCTTGATTGAGGTGAAAGGCTGAAACTACCTAAAAGGTAGGAATGATTTTCTGAGCCCTATCACCACCTTGTCCCTGTGCAAGACCATAAAGGGTTATTTAGAGAATAAGGCCACTAACAAAGACACTTTCCTCGAAGAGGTGATGGCTACAACAAACACCATCTTATGGCTGGGAACGGAAAGGGGAATGTCTGAGGGGTTCAAACTGTGGTTTTTGAGGCATCAAAAGAACTAGATGCAGATCCTACAGTCAGAGTTGGAGGCATATGGGAGACACCCTGAAATCATGGAATAGGAAGCCAATGATCTCTGAAAACAAAAGAGCAAGAGCAGAGACCTGACCCTTGATAGTGCCAAGGGCCAAATGCTGGTCGAGACCCAGCAGCAGGAAGGAGAGGATTTGTCCCAAGGAGAATCTCCTTGAGTGGAAGCCCTGAAACTCAAGTAAAGTAAGCCTTTCATGCATGATATACCTTGTGGAAACTAAACTTCCTAGCTTTAAGCATCATGGAAATAACCAAATTTAGACATGCCCTATCTCTCTAAACCTGGGCATCAACAGCCATGTCGCTGTTGACTATGAAGCAGGATGGAAAACTGGTCTTTGAGGCAAAGAACCTGGACAATCTTAAAAAGAGTAAACCCTTGCGGGGTGGGGGTAGCCCCACTGCAAGGGGTAATTTTATAAACCTGGCGTTCTTTTCGTGATTATTTGTAAATACAATAGTGGTCTAGAAACCATGTGCAAATACCTTGAAATTACTTTCCTATATACACCGCAATCATTTCTGTAAAGCAAATCCCTTCTATATTCACTCTGCTCCTCGGCTGACTTCTTGGCGCTAGTTTTGCCAGGTGGTGGCAGAGCACAGAAGCCACAAACCCCTTCTGCACTGTGTGTCCCTTTTCGGTGTAAACATTAGAGCCTCATTCTGACATTCCAGCCTCCTCTACATCTTTACAAACAGCACAGGATGTGATCTGTGATCTGTGCTCTGCTGTGAATGAGCAGAGCATAGTTAAATTGCCATCCCCTCTCCCCCCTGCATTTGTAATGATGATGATGATGATGGCGGTCTCGTGCAAGCGCTTGGAGCAGGAGTCAAGCACTGTCATCCAAACCTCAATTATTCATCTTCTTGCTAGCTGCATGGTCAGACCGGTGTGGAGGAAGGATGGGGGAGCCCTGTCCGACCAGGCACCTAAATTTAGACAGCATGTAGAAAGATGGGACCAAGTACTACATGTACTTTGTGCCCTAGGGGACAGGAGGCATTAAACCAAAAATAAATAAATAAAAAGAAAAAAAAGTGATACGTCTCTAAAATTTATTTTTATGCAAAACCTTTTTTTTTATTTTTTTATATACTATGGAGTGAAAAAGGGTTACAGACACGGTCAAATTTTTACTGTTGTCTGTGCCCACATTAGGAGATTTACTGTTCTATTTTCTCGATGACCACCGCCATTGAGACAAGATAAGAAACCCCAAATTTGACAGTTGTCACCAGAACCACAGGTAAAGGGAAATCTTCCAAAGGGGACAGCTGTCTTAGAGGGGAATTCCCCTTACTTTGGGAGATTTCTAACTCCCTAACAGCAAATGAATGACATTTTCTCGATGGTACAGAGACTTAACGCTGGTTATCAATGACTACTTTGTGAAGGTTCAAGCTCTGGGGTGGTTATCCTTTTCCTTTGTCAAGTAGCTTGCAAGTCACTGAGCTGGAACAAGCATGTGTACATCCAGCATGGTGATAATATCTACATCTCAATGTCCTGGAATTAGTTCACACCATAATAAAAGCAGCGACATACCGATCAGCTGGAACGTTGGACTCGTAGTAACCGCTGCTTTCCTCCGTGTCGACCTGACGGCTGTACTGATCCACTTTCTCTTGGAACGATTCAGATACAGATCCAAAATACAGATGTGGCCGGAAGACTGCCAAGCAAGGGTCAGGCAGATGAGACGCCCGTTTCTTGTATTTGTTCTGAGACTTTTCATCCAAGGAGTACCAAATCTCCATCAGCTGGAAAAAAATAAAAACTTCTCATAACTACGGTTTCTTACCATAATTATTTATTTATCGAGTATTATAACATACATATGTATTAAAAGATTGTATACGTATGTTTTTTTTTTTTAGAGGTGCACCGAAATACAAAATTTAAAACCCGGAACGCAACCAAAATAAAAAAAATTGCCAGGCCGAAACCGAAAATGTTTTAAATATTTTATTTTTTATAAAAAAAAGTTTATTTTATTCATTTTTTATTAAATATTTTTAACTTTACTTTTAGGGGCTCCGGGGAAATATTAGGGGTCTAAACAGACCCCTGATATTTCCCTTTTAAAAAAGAAAAACAGATTGAGAACACAGAGTCCTCTCTCTTTTCCTATATCCCCTGTTATCAATGAAAAGGAAACCTCTATTCCTGTTCATTGATAACTTGAGGACAGAGTATGTTTACTATAACTACAACTATGAATGAACAGGAGGGGATGTAATTCACTTCCCATTCATTCATAATTGAGGATATAGTAACCATGCCATGTCCTCAATTATCTACAAACACTCAGCGATCACCGACTGCTTGTCCCTCACTCTCCTCTCTGACACGTTGTCACAGGAGGCTGAGCAAGCGGTGCAGGGAGGAGAGCTCAGCCTCCTGTGACAGCGTTGTTTCCGCCCCCTCACCGCTCTGCCGAACTGTGATAGGCGGTCGAGCAGTGTGGGAGGAGACACCGGGCGCTCACAGCGCTCTCGTCCCGCAGTGCTCGGCCATCACTTTCCTTCCTTTCCGCTGAGACACAGAGCTGCGCCCAGCGGGGAGGAAAGAAATCAGGGATGCGCCGACGTATCGGCACAAAAATGGCACTTTCGGCATTTAGCCAAAAGTGCAATTTTCAGCCAATATGTTTGGGCGGCCGATATATCAGTGCATCCCTAGTTTTTTTTTTTTCTTCTTGCAAAGTATTGGAAATATTTTAAAATCACTAATATATCAAAATAAGTAATTTTTATAGATTATATACGCCTTTAGGCATTAAATCCCATATGGGAGGAACAAGACAAAAGTCTGTCACAGTATAGACAATAAATCCTTATTCACCCGTTGTAGATGAAACAGCCACATTCTCTAATAAAGTCAGTCACACTATAGAGTCCAGAGACAGGTTGCAATACAGATTCCGTCAGAGACAATGTTCTAGAAAGGGCCTTAGCCCCTTATCAATACCTTAAAGAAAGGTCCATCCACCACTACCAACATTTTGTTAAGACTGGATACTGCCAGGACCACAGAAGGGGCAGTCCACTTTTTTTTATATTTCTGTAACAAATCGGTATTCCAACAATAGTTAAATCATTGAGGAGAAAAAAAAGAAAATGTTCCAATTAGGGATGTCCCCGATACCATTTTTGCAAGACCAAGTACTTTTCCCCTCAGGTACTCGCTGATACCAATTACCATCACTTTTCTTAATGGGACATGTGACATTTTGTCGAACACAATACATGCTAAAGATTTTAGGGCAGTGTCTCAGCAGGCCTGCATGTGGGTCTCTCCAGGGATCAGTAGGCAGGTGCTGGGCTGAAAGCACTGTATGTGCGGTGTGGGGGCTGTCCTGAGATGTGCCGGCGTCGGGAAGGAGGAGGAGATGTGGGAGCAGACAGGCAAAAGACAGCTGCTGTCTGAGATCCCCACAAGCACGGGACCTCAGGGAGCCGATCCGGTTTAAAAATTGAAAGGGTCGGTATTAGCCTTTAGTATTAGGGCCCGATACTAGTATCGGTAATCAGGGCATTCCTAGTTAGTAATTTTTTATGCATAAAATGAATCTATAACAATAAAAAACAAACAGTGTGTACAACTATACAAAAGAAGTGGTTGACTACCCAACCCTTAAGATTCAGTTGTCAGTCATTAAATCAAGGCACCCCCAAAACAGAGCACATTCAACAACATCATACATAAAATGGTGGGATAATGCATCCTTAAAAATACGAGTACCCAAGGCGTATATATTAACAATGCACAACAATGTATGTAATACCACAAGGAACAGGAGACTGATGTTATGAATTATACAGTGCACACATCACCTTCCGAGTGGGCGTTATCTGCGGCTATGGGGGACTCCAAATATACCTGGGAAATCTGATTTTCAATCTTCCTGGAGACCTGTGCAAAGCTTCCATCAAATACCAAGCAGTGTATTCAAAGGCCTTAACCACTGACCTTATTTCTGTGTCTGAAAAGGTGCGTGAACTATATATGCGCCATTTCTTGAAATAATTCACTGTCAGTTAGGCTTTGTTTCACTTGGCATCTAAACGTTCTGTCCACATTAATGTTTTAACAGCTGTGAGAAGAGTAGGGAGTTTGGGAGCTGAGGGTTACAAGCAAACGGCCATGATTTCCTTTCACGCCAGCAGAAGACAAGTGTAGATTCAATCTACTTCTGTCATCTAAAGATGAGCAGGAAGGGCCCATTACTAAACAAACAAATCCCCCGCCTTCTAACAAGCCAAGCCCCCTGGATTTAATTACAGTAGGCTTCAATGGTATCCCGGGAGTGGGAGATGGCTGGGCATTCCGATAGGCAATGTCCTAAACTGGCTCCCACTAAACCACATCTGGGGTCCACTGCATGAGTATTTTTTTCTTGTGCCTGGAGTTGGGCTTTAAAGAGAACCTTTGTTGTGCCCTTACACCAGGCACTGTCAAAAGGAGGGAGTCACATTCTCCTCCATACCAGTAGTGGAGCATTAAAATAACACTCGTTTTTAGCATTGCCTTACAAGAGCAAGATAACAACAAGTGTCTCACCTGCTTGGCAGCCAGCTCCCTGCCGTTCTCATACTGCTCAGTGCCATACAGGGCCCTAACAGCCGCCATCTTCTTCTGGGAGTACAACAAGAAAGCTCCCAGCCTCTGGTAGGGTGCGGGGTGCTTGGATTTCCATTTCCTTATGGCGTGGCTTTGTCGACTTGCTTGCTCAGAGTCCATCCTTGACAAGACCTCATCCAAACGCTTTGACTTTTTTATAACCTGTCAAAGATAGAAAAAAGGACAAAAATAGATAGGCTCTTATTTCCTCATATTTGGTGCTACTATACTCTATTCATGCCAAGCTTCCTGTGTAATGTATAATGTGCAATTGCAATGATAATCCAAAGACTGAAACCTTCAATCCATGCTTCATTAGGCCCTCATACTTCAGAGGCAGTAAGGGCTCACGAAACCAGGGACTAGGGGGAAGGGTCATGTTTTTTTATCAAAAATATTTGACTCGTGACATGTTTAATTTAAAGTAGATGCAATGAAAATGTGAGCACACAGGCAGAAGCAGCTTCTAAGTTTTCAAACTGTGGGAGCCACATTTTGCGATCTGACAATCTTTGTACGATCAACTTTAGATTTACAAAAAATATGCAGCATGACCTACCTAATCTATCCAATCAGTTTATATCCAGGTCAGGTAAGACCCTATACTACATAATGGTTGGTAGATCAAAAGGAGATGGTGCAATCAGATTGTATAGTATTGAATGGCGAAGTTAAGGCAGAGTAGTAGTAGTCACACAATCCCATCCTGGGAATTTAAGTTAACAAGCCAGACTTATGACTGCAGGACTTTCCGTTTGTTGTTCTGACAAGCTAAAGATGATCCCTCACAAAAATAAAAAGGATCAAGAAATCAATGCATAAATGCCAGTTCCAAGCTCAGAGTGATGACTACTTTACAACACACACAGGGAGCATGGGGGACAAAAGTAGACACACTCCAGAAGGAAGGACAGTGTCAGCACCAATTCTGAGAGGATTTGAGGATCTACAGCTGAGTGATACACAAATCGGGTCTTGGCATTCAGAAAATATATAATGTTGGGGGGTTTTACGTCATTTTCAGGCCTAAAATGTGGAATATAACATGGGTGCAAAAATGGAAAAAAGGGCCTCAGTCATGAAGGGGTTAAAAGATAATTAACAAAAACTTTAAAAAGGAGAACTATGAGGTGAGTGAAAATCACTCACCCTCATAGTTCGAGCCGACGTGTGACAATGAAACTGTCACGCGCCGGCTCAATAGATCGGGGAGTGAACACATACCGTCGCTCGCTCACTTCTCGATCATGTTCCTGCAGAGAGCCGTGACTGTCACACACGGCTCCCTGCAGGGATTGCCCCCGCTCCAATCCTCCAGCGCTGACTGGCGGAACGGAAGGGGGCGGCTACAGCTGGCTCTGCCTCTAGATTGACAGCCGGCTCTGCCTATCACACAGCTTGGTGGATTTCGACAGTAATGTCCGGAGCCGTCCCGGCTGCTGCGGTCTCAGTATATCACGAGCCGTAGCATGCGGTATACTGAGCTTTGGGTCACGGGAGGACGCTAGTTTGTGTCCTCCCATGAGCCTTAGGAGAACTATGGGGAAAAACACTGACCCCATAGTTCTCCTTTAAGGTCACTTAAAATATCTTAATGTCTATGTATGGACTGCACAGTTCATCAAAGCTGCCATTTCTCCCTGCCTTCCAGAGACAATCCTAGGTTCTGGGAATTTGTCGGGTGGGGTGACATTTAGGCACCACTAATCAGCAGCACTGTTCACCCCACCATGTTCCAGCATATCTCTTCATTAGTCACATGACTACCACAGAAGAGGAGGAGAATGCCGATGATCCAAGGACACTCATGGTTTTGAAACATTTGGTAATGGGTGGGATATCAGCAATGACAAGTTGGTAGATGGCAGAAAAGCTGTGAACTGCCCAATCAAGGCTGTCAAAGCTTTGCTTTATGTAAACCTTAAGTGGAAAAAAAAAAAAAAAACAAGTCTATAACTGGTTTCAAAGGTTGCAGTGCAGAGTAGACGTCTGGACACATTTTTAATAGAAAATCTATAGTAAACATCGTAAAATGAAGCAAGCTTTATGGCTCCAGAAGGTCAACACATCACCTCTATAAATGTATACCATATGGTAGATAGTACATATAGTGCTCTTCTACAGAATGGCTGTCCATGGCAACACAACACCCTAACAAATGCACACTCCCCATTTACTAAACTCATGACTTGTGCCTGTGCTACACGAGTTTACAAATGTTGTGCCTTCCTCAAAAGTCAATTGAACTCGGAGTGGAAACCTTTTTCATCGGGTACAGCTGCTGCAAAACAAGGTCAACTACTAAGTGCCTGCATTGATCTTTTTCTGCATACCAAATTAATAATCAACTCATTTGGCATCTCAGAAATGATTGAGAGTGTTGAGATATTCAAGATGAAAAACGCAAAGACTGAGAAGGATAATCCCTCAGCCTATAGTCAGTACTAGCAATAGGCTGGCCTGGCACAAGAGCAATTATCTGACAGGATGCCATGGAAAGGACATAAAACTATGCCTGGGTGGGCCACAAGAGTGGGAGCTTGTGTCATCTGCATCTAAGATCTCTACTTCCCCCCTAATAAAACTGAAGCATTTAATACCAATAGATGCTGTAGGAGTCTGCTACTTTGAAGTATTGCCTGCTACATAATATATGATAGTTGCAGACTTTATCAAACAATCCCATTAAATCCCAAAACCCCCTATGGAAAAGAGAGAAAAGTGTCTCACTTTGTGTTACTTTGATTCTGGCTTTCACAACTTCTGTGATTGGACAGGGGGAGTTTGTGACATTCATCTCCACCTCCTCAAATCACAGAATGCTTTGTATTCATTAAAAAGAAGACAAGAGGTTTTTGGAATGGATGAAGTGCAGAGAGAGAGTGACCCGCTGTGATCTGTGCACTCTGGCAGGAACTACGTTTCTGCGCTAAATGTTCAGCACTGACTGTACTGTACAGGGCGAATGAAGGTAAGGGCATTACGAAGCGCAGCAACGGCCATACAATGCACAATCATCATTAGCGTTCATTTATTTTTGGCCAAAATTTGTTTTGGTGACCATTCAGTTTTAAACGGGTTCAATTGGGCTTGACCCGTTTTATTTTTTAAATGCCTACAGATGCAGATCAATCATTCAAGGGTATGGGCTATAGAAGAGGTGGACAGAAGAAAAGGAAATTCTATTAAAAAAATATTTTATTTGTATTATTATTATGAATACTAAAATACCTTTCTCAATGCGCAGTTAAATAATTTAAATATTGCTTTTCTACAAAATGGCAAACTTGATGTATTCCATATACCACTGGGGTTCAGGATGTCCCCAGGAACCTTATGTTATGTGAATGGCATCTAGAGATGCAGATATCGCAGCTTTCCTCAGTAGAACAACAAGATTTGCTCAGGTGATTACAATAAGTGTAGACACTCATTTGGGAATACGCTTGGAAAGGACATAGGGAAACTTATTTCTTCAGAATAGAGATAGCTATGATTGCAACAAAGTGCACCAAAATCCTTGCACTGTATATAGGTCAGCAACAGATCAATTTTGTTATAAAAAAATGTTAGTAAAGCTGGCCATACACTGATATTTTCTTCCTTCAAACTGTGGGCCGAACGAAACGTAACAAATTCCTCCATCCATGCTAAACAGTGTGGACGGATGAATCTCCTGCAGTGCTATTGTATTCTGAAAGCAGCAGATGTACCGCTGTCAGAATATCTGGAATGCTCGCAGCAACGGACTGTTGAGGCGAAATTCTTCTCATCAACTCCTTCAACTTTCTGATCAAAAGATGCTGGACGGAAGGATGCTGACAAGGCCACCCACTGAACGAAAGTGGCACAATATAGGATCGCTTTAAATACTGAGCAAAGAAGGCTAAAACCTTCAGAATGATCCTCAATACGTTTCAGTTTTTATCCCTTTTTTTTTATAAATCGCAAATGGATCGAAGGATTACATTTTTTATTTAACAAAACAAAATCCACCAAAATATAAAAACAGCTTCATGCCAGAACTGAGTATGGCATAATGAAGAGAAAATGGATAGGACAACTTGTAAAGGTCTGATTCTAATAAGCAATATATACGGTTTCTTAACCCCCTCGTGACTGACGACGTACAGTGTACGTCGCCAGCATCGGGGCTGTTTAAACAGACTCCCGGCGACTTTTGCCGCCGGGACTCTGTTTAAACTTGTAGAGCCGACTGTCGGCAGTTTTCGATCATGTCCCTGCAGAGAGCCGTGACTATCACTAACTGCTCCCTGCAGGGATTCCCCCGCTCCGATCCTCCAGCACTGACTGGAGGAACGGACAGGGGAGGGGCGAGTACAGCTGGCTCTGCCTCTAGATAGGCAGAGCCAGCTGTCAATCACGCAGCCGGGTGGATTTTGACAGTAATGTAGCTCACTATATACTGAGCTTTGGGTCACGGGAGGACGATAGTTTATGTCCTCCCGTGACCCTTAGGAGAACTATGGGGAACACTGACCCCATAGTTCTCCTTTAATATAGACCAGCAAATTATTTATGTAATGGGGAGTAGAAGATGGAGTTAGAAATGTTTTTTTTTTCCCCCAAATAAAAAAAATATATACTGAATTCAGGGAACATATGTGAGAAGGGTATTGCCCAAGATGGACAATATGGGAAAAGCATAGCGGAGCTCGGGGAGAAGGTAAAAGGAGAAGGGAACAATAGAGGGGGTAAAACACAGAAAAGAGAAAGTGGGGAGGAAAGGCAAGAGAAGAGAAAGAATAACGGAAAAGAGGGAGAAAGCAAGAAGATACCCCTGCCAGGTGCCAGCACCAAAAAGGAAGGAAACCATGGCATCTTAAAGTAGGGTAGTGTATTCTTCAGATGAAACAAATTGTTCCCAGTAAAACCAAGTTCGGGAGAAGTCGTCAGACCCGTCGTAAAGGGCCGTTGTGAGCCGATGTCCATGATTTTGCTTACTCTGTTAAACCATTGGACTATGGTCGGAGGATTGAGTTGCTTCCAGGTGCTAGGCACACATGCCCGAGCTGCATTCAGTAACGGATTAAAACATGGTACTTGGAAGCACCCTGGGAGGTACGGTTAGTCTAAACACATTTTGAACCTTACAGCAAAATACACTTTCACAAACCTCATAATTCTCAGCAATGAATGGGAACTGCTTTGGCTGTAGAAACTGCGTCTTGGGGACATCCAGTCCATCTTCTCCATATAGAAATTGAATCACGCTGCCATCGCTGTCACGGACTGTGAGATCATATTGGACCACTAGTCCTTCCAGGTGTTTAATAACACACCTGCACAAGAGGAAAAGCTTTTTTCATTCGGTTCCAAAAGAAGATACCCGGAGAGGGGAATACAATCTTAGAACACAAATTCACACAACAAAAAAGTGCCAACGCAATCACTATGTAATATATAGGTTTATACCAAACAACAAGATGAGATCACTTACAGAGAAGGGACACATTTATTAAAGTCATAGCCGGGCTTTTGATTTAAAAATGGAGTACTAGACTTGCAGAGGTTTGAGCATGAAGTCAAAGGCCCACAGGCTAGCAGAATACTACTGACCTCTGCAGGTATCCAGAACGACTTGTTTTCACAGCAGTGTCCACCAAGCCTTCTCTCCCAGCCATACAGTGAAAGAAAAATTCCTAGGATAAAAGAAGATCTTCTTTTAGGAAGTATAAATCAATTGAGGTGTCCACATCTGCAGTAAAATCTTTTTAAACACTTATAAAACCATGTAGATTCCTCCAGAAAATGTTGCCGTAACAAGGCCATGAATGCCACAACATGCTGGAGTGTGCTGCTCCTTCATCAAGAGCCGCCAGTAATGAGAGATGTGCAGATTACTTAATATTCACTAGATGTTTGGAGGACACTTTACTCATATGAGCTTGTCAGAGGTCCCATCCCAGAACCATGGACAGTAATATAGAGTTGGTCTCTGCTTTGCAGTTATAACTGCCTCCACTTTTTTTGTTCATCAGGGCTGAGGTCAGTGCTTTGCGTCTGACAAGTTATGTTAAGATGGTCGTATTCATACAAATGTGCAAAACACTGAAAATAAAACTATACATTTCCTTTTTACATTTTGAATTCCATGTTGAAAAAATGCTCAGCACGATTATAACACATAAGCTAGATACAATTTAAAAAAAGAAGAACTCAAAAAAATTGGTAAACATTTATTTATTCCCCCCCAAGGGGACAAATCGTCCTGCTTTAATGCATGATCAGACAGTTTACCCATTGTTGTCCAATAACGCTGCTAGAAAGGAATGGAATTCTGAGTGACAGCGCTAGTCTCCAGTAGCAGGAACCACTCTGAAGACCAGAATTGTCATGTACAACCGATCAAATTGGATAGAAGGGGAAATCCTCTGCACACCTTGCAGCAATCAAGGCCTATGTAGACAATGGTGCTTGTAGTGATGAACACAGATGGCACCGTGCAGACACAATGTGGGAAGAGGAATCACCAGCGCTCAGTAGAATAATCCAACATGTCCATTTATTGGACATAGACGTCACACAATGACAAGAGCTAACGTTTCGAGATCCACGCAGGGCATAAAGAGGGACCTCTATGTCCAATAAATGGACATGTTGGATTATTCTACTATGTACAACCGATCACACACGGTCTGAGGGTCAATCTGCGGCTGCTGGTAAATTTTACTATTATGAATAAAGAGGCAGGGCTTTGCCATCCACAGCACTGGCCCTGACAGCACTGATTGTTCATCCATAACAGTAAAAAACATAGGTCACCCAGTTCCACTGTGCTGAGCTATCTGCTGGGTCTGTGACTGTATACAAACTCCCCACAGATAGACACACAACCCCGAAGCATTGAACGAGCTTTTACCATTATAAATAAATGACCAACCTTTCATAATTGTGTGATAAAGCGGGCGATGCCCTATATTTTTACTAGGAGCTGGTAGCTCTATCACAAAGCAATTCAGGGCTGATTGTTCATTGAATTTGAAGTGGTGAGGAAGCTCGGTCCTGCTTGTACCGCCCACGGCACATACTCCCATATATTGGATTGGAGCCACAGCCAGCCACACCACAGCCACTGGGGTGCTTTTAACCCCCAATGAGGCCACTGATCAGAACACTACACTTGTGTAGCAATGATTAGTGTTACATGCACCTGCTTCCCTGAAGGACTAAAAAAGGTCCTACTGTTTTGTGAGAAGTCTTCTTTAACCACCTTCCGTCCATGGCCGTTCGTGAACGGCCGGACGGAAGTCTGCTCAGAGCGGGTGGGCGTCTTAAGACGTCCTGCCCCTCCCCCCCTCTCGTGCGCGCGCCGAGCGCCGCACACGAGAGGGAAAGCTGTTAGCGTGTAAACAGCCAGCGATGGCTGTTTACATACAAGCGATCAGGCGTCTCTAGAGACGCCCGATTGCTTGCACGATCTGCGGTTGTGTGCGCCCCCCCCCCCCACCTGTGTCCCGTCGCCGCTGCCGGTCCCGTGATCCGATGTCCGCTGTGGCCGGTGCGGCTGGGACCGGCACGGCGACGCTCTAACAGGAGATCA